GGCCCCCCCCTGCCAAACGGACGCTAGCCAAGCATGCAGGCCTCCCGGAACGTGCCTCCGGCGGTCCTCCAGCCTCACCGGCACGACTTCCTCTGGGTCAGCTGGGCTGCTCGTTCCCTGAGGTCACCTTCCACCTCCTACCTCCTGTCCCTGAGCCTGTCACTCCCCCCCCCGGTTCAGGAGCCAAGCTCCGGCCCCTGCTCCCCGTCTTCCAAGTTACACCAGATCTCGGGCCATGGGCTGCGTTGCAGCCCCAGCCCAGTCCCATGCTGGTTCATCCCCACCCGCGGCCCGAGTCCAGTCACATGATGGTTCGTCCCTGGCGCCGGGTCCCTTGAAGCCTCCTCTTCAATGTGCGGCATCAGCTCGTGCAGTCAGATTCGTGCCAGACGGAGCCAAACACCGTGTTTAGTGAAAAATGGCGTACTCACGCGGCGTGCGCCCCCTGTGCATGTCACCTGAGTGGTTAGACGCGCGGGGTCCTCTCGGACACGTCCCATGCCACGTCAATGTGCTGTTTGCTTCCTGTTTTTACTTTCGTGTTTGGCTCTCTGAATCGGATGGCACATGCCTTTGACACGCATTCTTGTATTTTTAGAATCGGCAATATACTGTTTTCTGTGGAAACTCAAACCACAGAAGAAAGAACACAATTATATCACGCCGAAATAGACGCACTTTACAAGGATCTGACGGCGAAGGGGAAAGTGCTCATTCTGTCCTCGGAGCTTGGGGTAGGTCTCGATGGGTCCGCTTAGCCGTGCTTCCTGTGGGTCTCCCGTAAACTTTTTAAAGCCTCTACCCTTTCATTGGGATTATATTTATGCCTGGAAGCAGCTTTAGTTGACCTATGAATATCTCTTTTTCAGTTTTGTAGAACCGACTCCCGTATGTAGTGATGACAGCCATCGTAGATTCATAAGTTTGGGCTTCATCGCAATTTAAACGAAAGCTTCGGTTCGTACCGAAATGGCCTGTGCTGCACTTAGTGGCTTCCCCTGGTCTGTGGCCTCCGCCCTCCGTCGCCCACCCCAGCTCGGGGTGGGGTGGGGGTGTGGGGTGGCTGTTGGAGGCAGGACCTGACATGTCACCTTTGTGGCTGCAGCTGTCACTGTGCCTCGAGTGTGGTGGGCACAACGTCGGCTTTGGAGTGGGTGCCAGCCGCCTGGGAAGTCATCCTATTTCTCTTGCATTTAATCGTTTCATACGTATAATTAAACATCTAAGTTATTATATATACTTAAGCACATTTACCACCTAAATCTCAGTTCAGAGGCAGGGGGCTTATCAGAGAGGGGCTTTCGGGGTAGGGAGGCTTGCAGAAAGCATATTCGGTATTAATAAGTGCTTTGTTTTATCTTAATCTCAATATAGGTATTTTGACATTGCAAATAACATTAAAATAGACTGAGATTTTTATATGTATCAGAAAAGCTGGCAGTTTTAAAAACAGCTGGGAAAATATTGCTCTAAGCCGGACTATATGTACACCCTTTTACTAGAGAAAAAGAGTATAAAATACTCAAGACTGAGAAATAGGTTCCTGGAGGGGAGGAAGTCGTCTTCCCCGTGTAAATGGGTCGCATGCGCCTCGTCGTCTCATGAACACCTGCTTCGCGACGGAGTGTTTCGTTCACGAGCACGTCTCTTCTTTTCCTAGGAGGCCGATGCTGTTTGTAACTTAATCTTGTCCCTGGTTTATTACTTTTATAATTTAATGCCACTCTCTCGAGGATCCAGGTGAGTGACACCCGGTAACTTTAAAGTTTCCCATGGAGAAGCGTGCTCTCCTCTGCCACGCTTCCTGTCGTGGGCGTGGGGACACGGTGACGAGAAGCCCCCTTCCGTTGCTGCAAAGTCCACCCAGAAATCATTTCCCGCCCACCACAGCGTCAGCGGAACAGTGGGCGGTTCCGAGGCAGCGTGCCTGACTCGCATAGCCTGGGGCTCAGTCCTTCAGAGGCGCACTGAGGGCCTACTGTGTGCGGGCGGGCGCACTGAAGGCCTACTGTGTGCGGGCGTCGCGCTCCCACGCTTGCATCTCGACATCTGTGCAGACCGCTGCCTGGCTCTCTTCTCCCCTCCCCCAGGTTTTGGCCACTCATTGCCCTTCGGCCCGAACGTGCCGCACTTCTGACCGCCAGCCGTTCCATACAGTTCATTTCTGAGAATAAATCCTAGCTTCTTACGCAGCCATCGGGAGTGTTTGAGGTGTCATTAAAACAGGAGAGGTGTCCGCAGAGTGTTCTTTCCACCCTCTTTTGCCCGGTCCTGTGTGCAGTGAATCGTGGCAGTGGCACATGCTGTCGTTGGCACATATTTGAATTCAAGACATTTTGGCTAAAATAATATACTTGAACGTCTTTCTCTTTAATTAATACTGTAAAAGTTAAGATTCTCCTAAATGTGGCAGTAAATTGAGTATTAATATTAAAAAGGCAGTGAGGCAAAACGGGCATAAATGTGACATCGGCATAGTTATCAGGGGTCGCGTCCACCAAGCGTGTGGCAGCGCCAGGCCTGAGCCCTCGGCCTTGGTCGGCCCCCTGACGCCTGTGCGGCAGCAGCTCTGCTGGCTCCCGTGTGGCACGCAAAGGTGACCCAGCTCCAGCCGCCCTCGCCTGGCCCTGGGCCCGAGCCGGTTGGCTGTGTCCCCTGAGCCCCCTGCCTGGCCCTGGGCCCGAGCCGGTCGGCTGTGTCCCCTGAGCCCCTCGCCTGTTCCTCAAACCCTTGTCACCTGACGCAGTCTTGCTGACACTGTCCGTGCTTCCAGCCCTCTCCCGCTCTGCGTGCCCCACGGTTCACACACCCCCGGGCTCAGGTGCGGACTCGGTGGCATCGCGCAGGGCCCGGGTTTCCTCCCCCGGTTATCTGCCCTTTCTCTCCCCTGCGGAGCTTCCGCCGGCGCTCTGCACCACCACCCACCTGTCCTCGCACCCCGGGTCCCGCGCGGGCTCCTCCCTCTGTGCCAACTCCCCACCCCCTCCGCCCCCGGGCCCTCCCTGGTCCCCCCGGGAATGACTCGCTCCTTCGGCGTCCGCTCACCGCCCGCTGCCAGCGCCGCCCGTGCTGCCCGCTCCCAGGGCCCCGGGCTTCGTCTCGGCCCCGGGCACCTTGCACGGGGCGCGCAGCCAGCGTGCGGCGAAGACGCCAGAATCAAGGCCGAGTCCGTACGGACCACACCCCGCTGTCGGCCCGGCCCGTCAGCAGTTCTGGGGAGTCACAGAGTGTGCTGTGTTTGACAGGCACGCTGCGCGACGTGCTCGGAATTTAAGCACGCCCAATTCCCGGTTCATGTCACAAGAATCGAAAACCCAAGTGGAAAAAAATGTCCTAATTAAAAGCAGCACTTCTTTGCCTTAGTAAAAGAATATTCTTGGTCACGTTTACCCTTAAACGAGTAAATCAGTAATTATTTTTCTTAATAGTAAACTAATAATACTTTTCAAATTAAATAAAAGTATTCTCATATTTAACGGCCAAAGCTTGCTTAAAAGAAATAGAATTCCGTGTTTTATGATGGGAAAACCGTGGCGACTAGGTGGTCACTGTCCGCGGATGGACTGAACGGTAACTGTCCTCTGTTTGAACAGCGTGATCGCTTACTCCGTGATCGTGGGAGCCTTGATGGCAAGCGGAAAAGAAGTAGCAGGAAAAATTCCCAAAGGGAAGGTACGTCGGGCCCGGGAGGGAAAAGCCAGGTGTGTCTGAACCCCAGGCCGTGGGCTTCTGTGATGAGAGACGGGGCCAAGCAGGTCTCAGCCTCTCCCCTCACGTGACCAGAGTCCCCACTCTCTTTCTTTTTCAGTTAGTTGACTTTGAAGCCATGACAGCCCCCGGTTCAGAGGCCTTTAGCAAAATAGCCAAAAGCTGGATGAACTTGAAAAGGTAACCGTGGGATGGGAGGCAGCAGGAGACGTTGCGTTAAGGGGCAGAGAAGGGGCTGTTGCTTCTGAAGCTGTTGGAAACCGGAACCGCACGGGTTCATGGGTCACGGTTATAAAGTGCATCCAATCGCTTGGTCTAAGGTTAGAACGTTTCACTGTCACGTCGGAGCCCCTGGAGAATGAGTGCATGGAAAACCGTGAATAACGAGTAAAAAACAAGCAGCTCGTTTGTGAAGGAAAGTGACAGGCGTCTGAGTTACATACTCGGACACTCGTCTCGGCTGATTCACGCTTTGCTCACACTCAGGTCCGGTGTTCACGGGTGCGTTTCAGACGTACTCTGAGTGGTGGCGCTTTGGTGGCACTTGGCCTGTTCGGCCAAAGCTTTTCACTGCCCTCTAGATTCCGAGGACGTGAGCGCTGAGCAGAAATCGCCCCGTGTGAGGAGCCCGGCCGACTTGGGCCCTTCCTGCCCTCGTTCGCAGGCGAGTGTGTCAGTTTGGGGTGAAACCCAGCTCGCCCATGCTCGCACATCCTCAGAGAACAAGCAGGTGTCACTGTCTGACCCTCTTTATTTTCGCTCCTTCTCCGTGTTTTTCAAATCATAACCACGGCCAGTTTCCCTCATGTGTGTTCCACGTAGCAACGACTCCGAAAATCGCAGGGTAATTCATGGCCTAAAACGGAGAGAGCCGCGTCTGCGGCCCACTGTCGCTCAGTCTGCACCTGCTGCAGACTTGTGACGGTCACCCCTTTCTCCAGCACACTCTTGCTCCAGGCTTGCTACGTGACAGGGCTTCGCCCCCGTGTCCCTGAGGTCCAGCCTCACTCCTGTGCTCGCGTGGCTAGTGTCCGTCCCCCCACAGCCCTGGAGAGAGTCCCGGCGCCTCCCACTGTGCAGTCCCGTTTCCCCTGCACTCGACGCGGTCTCTCATGTCACGCTCGGGGGAGCTGCACGGCGCACACCGTCCCCGGTGTCGCAGGCGGGGTCTGGGGACCGCCTAACTGAGGACGGGCGGGCGGGACCGAAGCCTGTGTCTTCCGGTCCCAAGGCCGGGGCCTCGCGCGAGGCAGAGTTGCATCGTTTCCCCGGGGACTCCGGCTGGACTTTGAGCAGCTCCGCCGACCCCCGTGCGCGGCTTGGCGGGTCCGCTGTGCTCACGGCCCCGTCGCTCCCGTAGGGA